TAATTAAGCCCCTGTTTGTTTTCCATTCTTTTCCCATTAAAATGAAAAATATGATCATTATCAATTACATCAAGCCACCAAATTTGAATTTCTATCTCTTGTGTGGGATGCATAACGACTATATTTTTCATTTTCATTTTTACAAAAATGGGAAACAAACGGGGCCTAAAACATGAAATCTGAATTTTAAACTTAACCTCCTTGTTTATGAAAACTAATCTTTAATTCTAGGGTTGTAGGTAATTTTCCATTAAATTAGGTTGTTTCCAATTGTCCAAATTGTTTTCTTGTCGAGCCAATCATTATGGTGTCAATATAATTAATCCAACAACATTTTAATAACGTTACTAAAGATTTATTAAGTATCAAAATTCAACACAATTAAAATTTGAAAACATAAGCATTCGAAATGGTTTTCAAGAATAAAATCCAATCTATCAAAAAATGGGTATTAGCAGCGTAAAGCTCGAGTCTTGACGATCAAAATCCTGTGGGGCGGCTTTTATAGATACCAACAAGTTACGTTTAGGGTTTCATTTTGGTTATTGAGATAAACATTGTAACGTGACGTCCTAGCAAGCTACAAGAAAGCAAATTGTATTGAAACTGCAATAGGTATGCTTGGTTTGTGTACATTAATTGTATTTAATTACCTTTAAGACCTCGTACGTTCGAGACAAGTATGCAATTATTGCCCTTCTTGAGTCTTATCTCATTGATGGTCGATCCTCGAAGGGAAGTGATGAGGACATTGAACGACGTTTACTTATTTTATTTAAATTTTATTTATTTTCTTGGACTATTATTTAAATTTGGACTTATATGGGTTCGGGCCCAAGCTCGTTAGGGTTGCTTTACTATTTAAACCTATTTTGCACTGTAATTTTGGGAGGATGATGAATTAGAATTGAAATATTGTTTGGCTTGCAGCCGTTTTCTCCCTCCCCTCTCTTCCCCGTTCCTTCTTCTTCTCACCTAGTTTCTGAACTTCTTCCTGGCTACTTCTTCTTAGTGGAATCCCTCAATCTATCATAAATCAAAGTGGTATCAGAGCCGAATCTTGGGTACTTTCTTTTTACAATCCAAAATCTCTTCTTTTCTCCCAAATCTTGTTGGAACAGCACAATTGAAAGAGGTTTAGCGTAAGAAACAACAATTTTTTTTCATTTTGTTCTCTGTTCTTGTTGAAAAAAAAAAAGAAAAAAAGAGGTTACTATTTGGGTTACTGTTCACGCCCAATTTCAATTTTTTTTTTCCTTCAATTTTCTATCGTAGTTGCCACCAAAAAAAAATAAAAAATCGTGTTACTATTCACAGGCGAAAATTTCAGTTTAGGGTTTTTCTGCAATTTCAGTTTCCCCCTCACTAAAAAAAATCGTGTTACTATTCACTGGTACTGTTCACATCCGAGATTCCAAATTTTTGATTTTCTTTCTATAGTAAAAAAAAAAGTATTTTCTAACATTATTTTGCAGATACCTCTTCCTGTTCTGTCGATCAATCCAGTCGCTTCGATGAACAAAAAGGGAAGTTCCCATTCTATTTATTTTTGGTACATTACTGTTTATCTTAGAAATTGCATCAATTAAATTTTTGTGCTTCTGCTGATCTAGTTGTTTATCTAAACTCACGAATTGGACCTATTCACTTCGATAAGTTTCACTTTTACCTCACTTATTTAACGTGATTAGAGTTTGACTAGTATTTGACCCTTGCTTTGCTATTTTACTTATACCAACAGTATTAGCTTGTTTTGGATTTTAATCCCATAATTTAAATTTAAAAAAAAGAAAAGAAATAGCTCAATTTTTCATTTTTCATTACTTGCACTTTTTGTTCGTTGATCTCTCTATTACATGTCATTAAGTTGTTATTATAGTACATGTAGTTACATATTGGTCATCTTGTTACTCCTAGCTCCAGTACCTTAAACATGGACCCTTCACAATTCAATGCACTCACCCGACAAATAGCGACTATTCAAACTCAAATGACCACTACTCTTGAAGAGAGTAAGGCCCTATCTATTAGTTTGAAAAAATTTAAACACATCTCTCATTCAATTGATGTTGATAATTCTAAGGTGTCCCATAATGGATAACATCATCAACAAGGTAATCAAAAATACTTTCGACCCGATCGTAAGGATAGGGATAGGAATAGGGATCAAATTCGCGAGCGAGAACGAGATAATTTTGAAATTCTTACTCCATGGAATGCCCTTAAACAAGGAAATCAATTAGTGACTGAGTATATCGCACAATTTGAGGAATTTCGAATCAAATGTCATTTAATTGAGGATGAGAGCACGACTTTGAGTAGGTTTAGCCAAGGTCTGAGAGATGATCTTAAGCGCGAGCTTTTCCTTCGAGGTGTCACTACTCTTGATCACGCTTATTCTTTAACTCGAGATTATGAGTTGATTATTCATACTCCATATGAAAAGCGTGGTCATCGTCGTTCACCCATCTCATTAGCGTCGTCTCATCATAAGTCTATCATAAAACCGTCTCCGTCTAATGTTCCTCCTATTTGGAAAAATAATTGTAAAGGTCGTGATAGTCCAAGATCTTCTTCTCCATATAGAAAGCATATTAACAATCATCCTTCGGTGTCATTGGCTCCACTTCCTCCCGTTAAGTCCCTTCTAGGACCTCCCCCGTCTGATGTTCCTCCAATTTTGAAAAATAAGGGTAAATTTTTTTATAATCATCATTTGGCTTCATTGGTTTCACTTCCTCCCGTTAAGTCCCTTCTAGAACCTCCCCCTTCTAATGGTTCTCCAATCTTGGAAAATCTGGGTAGAATTTCTGAAACTCCAAGGTCTTCTTCTCACTTGTTGTGCGTCAACTGTAAAGACTTTGGTCACATTTCTTCTAAATGTCCTAATCGAACATTAGTCATGGAAGAACGAAAGAGTGTAATAGATGAGCCGTTAGAAGATCTAGTCTATGAACCTAAACTTGAAGATTTTGATGACTTGGATGATAGTGAGGATACTTCCTTAGGTAGAATCCAAACTCTTCCCGAGACTTTGGATACTGTACCCCTTATCTCCAACAATTCTCGATCACATGTTATATGTCATACCCTTACCCAAGTTAAAGAGCTCGATGATGTCACCAATCACCCTTGGAAAATCCAGTCGCCTGTGGTTAACACTAAGGCAAAATTATCCACCACCGACCAACCTCAAATTGATGGTCAAAACAAAAGTGCTAACCAAAATCCTGACAATTTATTACAGTCTCTAGTCCAGAAAAATCTTGGGAATTGGGACTTGATCCCTCTAACTGTTCAAATTGCATATCACGATCCTGTGAACTGGTCTTTATGTCTAAAACCCTTTGAAGTTATTCTTGGTTGTGAACCTTTGAAACCTCCGGTCCTTATTCCCATGCACCCACATGCTTATGTGTCTATGTCAGTTGAGGTAGTTGTATCACATTTTCATAACTTGCATATTGAGATCAATAAGCAATTTGAAGCAAGTAAAGCATTATATAAACCTCAAGTTGATTGGCATAAACAATACTTTGAATTTAATATTGAGAATTATGTTATATTGCAAGCGTGTAATGATGGTCTTTTTAAAATTTCAAAGTATGTTGGTCAAAATGCCTAGGTCAATGATTTTTTATCAGATTATGACCATCACCCTATTTTATTTGTTAAGGACTTCGATACTTACAAATGCTATTTTAACACTTCTGTTGATCCTTTTCTATATCTACCTAAGAACTCCCACGTCGAATCTTTTGCTATGTCTATTCGAATATCACCTGTTGCAAATTATGTTATATTGCAAGCGTGTAATGCTGGTCTTTTTAAAATTTCAAAGTATGTTGGTCAAAATGCCTAGGTCAATGATTTTTTATCAGATTATGACCATCACCCTATTTTATTTGTTAAGGACTTCGATACTTACAAATGCTATTTTAATACTTCTGTTGATCCTTTTCTATATCTACCTAAGAACTCCCACGTCGAATCTTTTGCTATGTCTATTCGAATATCACCTGTTGCAGCACACAGAGATAAAATTGATGTAATTTTAGATGAACAGGTTGTGTTAACCATTGAAGGAGAGAATCGGTGCTTCTCTAATTGTTGGGTAGATCAACATTCTTATTGTGCTCCATATTATGCACAATCATGTGAAGATTTTGGAGATGAGTTGCAGGAGTACTTGTTATTTGGAGTCCAATGTTGGTACTTGATTAAAATGAGGGATCGTCCGCCTTGGTCGGATCATATTCTTGAGGACAAGTTGCCATTTACATTGTTATCAACCGTGGAGTTCAGATATTTGGTTCTTCAAAAAGATCGTCCCCCGTGGCTTGATTTGAAGCATTTGGAGTATCAGATTGACTGCAGCCTATACTATCTATCCACTCAATAGGGTCGAGTTTTCTCCCACCCGGGAGAGTTGATGGGGACATTGAACGACGTTTACTTATTTTATTTAAGCTTTATTTATTTTCTTGGACTATTATTTAAATTTGGACTTGTATGGGCTCAGGCCCAAGCTCGTTAGGGTTGCTTTACTATTTAAACATTTTGCATTGTAATTTTGGGAGGATGATGAATTACAATTGGAATATTGTTTGGCTTGCAGCCGTTTTCTCCCTCCCCTCTTTTCCCCGTTCCTTCTTCTTCTCCCCTAGTCTCTCAACTTCTTCCTGGCTACTTCTTCTTATTGAAATCCCTCAATCTATCCTACATCAGGAAGCCTTATTCATATTTCACCCCTGCTACATAAAAATGCTTCCTTTTTTCATTAATATTCATATTCTTTTACTTAAAAAGGACAGTTAACAAATGATACATAATTCAATGCATCCATCAATTAATATCACTAAAAATAAACACGAAAATATGATATATTACAACATCAATTATTAACACTACTAAGATAAACACGAATTTTTTTCAATTCAATTAAATTTATAACAAGTACAAAAATGAATGTTTCTTCAAGTGTAAATGTTGACAAGAGATTACATTCAAGAAATAAGCAATTGATACATTTACAAAATACCTCTTTTTGAGGTTCAAAGTAATCCTAGGAACATCAGCTAAACTTTGTATACAACATGAATTTTTCCATCATTTCAAAGCTACCTTTATGAGAAATAATTAATAAAAACTAAAAATTGTGCCAAGTTACATCCACTTTTGATGGCCACAAAATCATGTTTTCTTACAAACAGGACTTGCAGGAAATATGTGTACAGAAAAAAGAATCCTAGTGATCTTGAAACTGCAAAGAATTAACTCTCGAAAAATTTCAAGGCCACAGGATTTTTGTTAAACAGATGTGCTGCTAAAATCGAAAGCATCAGAACTGCCATGATTGTGAACGTTCTCCTACAACTCCTGGTTTTTACCATTCTCTCTGCATCCACCATCGGAGAGGAATTTGTTTCGTTGTTTGCAGAACTAGAAGACACTTCACTCTGATCTGGGGCCACGTCCCCTGGTGATTTGTACACCTGATTCACATATTGTAAGACACGTGAACAATCACAAATGTATAAAAATTCAAAGCTTTTTGAAAACTGACAGGCTTCAATGTTGATCCACAAATTCACACAGTGCATGATGAATAAATTGCTATTTAATTTGCTCCAATGGTTGCAAGTTTATTTCTCCGTTAAAACTTAAACTAAAGATCAAGAAACAATAACAGGTGAATGGCATTCCTCAAGACCTATTCTCAATCTCACTTGGGGGGTGTGTGTGTGTGTGAGAGAGAGAGAGAGAGGGAGGGAGGGAGGGACGGAGAAGAGGGTGGGAGTGGAGCTAAAATCATTAATGACATCTTAACGGGATCTTTGGCGAACTTTTGAAATAAAACGGAAGAATCACTTTCAAAATTGGCTGCAGAGGCAAAAAATATCATGGATCCAAGCCAATTGTGTCGCTTAAAATGAAAGACCAAGGATAATTGATAAAGAACAGCTGAAACAGTATCCGTGAAGCTATTGTTTCACACCATGAAGAGGACAAGAATCTAATCAGTCAAATTAATAACATGCTACCCTGTTAACTTTTCATTTTGATACTACCACTCATATGTCAGACAAGAAATAACCAAGGTAGTTGTTCCCACATTTTGTTTGTACCGTATGACCCAGAAAACAGGAATTTGGTTCCTGAAACATATGCATCCTTGGTAGTTTCATATTGTTGAGCCTGCGTTAAACATTTGATTGTATGACATGTTATTTGGCCACTTTAAGACCAGTATTTATACCAGTATGTCTTCTGTAGTAAAATAGATAAACCCAGAGAGAGCTTTAGGCGAGCTCAAAGAGGTAAACCAACCTGAAAACTTTTGGATGAGAATGGTGTAGTCATTTCAGCTGAAAATCTTGTAGAAAAAGCATCAAGTGAATTGAGCCCGGACGATGGGAATTCTTTATTTTCACTACTGCTATTGTCTCTCTGAACTACGGGTGCAAGCTTCGTTGATTCCTGAAACTTCTCCCTCAACAATTTGTTTTCCTTTGTCAAATAGTACAACTGCACGAAATTCAGATGCATTAACTTTAGGCTTTTTAGTTTCCAAACATCTTTATTGAATAATAATGCATAGAATTTGGTTCACAGGCAGATAGAGGTATATGGTAAGAGAGACTGGAAGAGCCAATAATGGAGAAGAAAGTAGACAAAAGTAAAGCACCTGTTTGTGTATTCTCTCCCTTTCCAATGCCAGTTGCGTAACCATATCCATAATTAGATCGGTTTTGATATTAATGTCGTCCATACATGAATTTTTCTCAATTGTCTCTTGGTTTATAGATTTCTCCAAGAATTCCATTCTGGCTCTCAGAAAATCTAGTTCTTCGTTAAGTTCTGAATTCGTGTCGGACAATATAATACATCGGTTCTCCGCACTCTCAGTCTTACTTTCAGCGTTGGCAACTTTTTGTTTCAGTTCATCAATTAATATTTCCATGTCCCAAATTGCAGAATATAGCATGTTTTGCTGCTCTTGACTTGCTTCAGAGGATGCCCTAGCATGCTGCAATTGGATATCTAATTCCCTCAACTGCTTCTCGAGTATGCTCGCCTTTTTTGTATTGCTATCATTACTACCTCTCAGAAAACCTAGTTCTTCTGTCAGTTCCATGTTTGTCTCTGTTAAATAAGTAACTTTGGTCTCTGCACTTTCAGCCCTGCTCTCCGCATCATATATAGTTTCCCTTAGGGACTGGATTTCACCCTCCATCTCTTTTAATTTCAGTTGACTCGTTTCACTTGATGCATTTGCCTTTTTGAGCTGGGACTCAGTTTCGTTCAGCTTTTCCCCTAGCATATTAAATTGTTCTCTTACATGAGTCACTTCAGAATTATCGGCGATAAGCTGTGAAATGCTGCTGTTGAGTTTTCCAATTGCAAATTCTTTGTCGTTCAGTTGATCTATGCAATCTTGGAGTTTAGATTTCATTTCTTCTTCTTTATTGGTTGAACCATTCAGATTGAACCGAACAATCTGAAGCCTGCCCGCCATTTCTTTTGAAATTCCCGTCAGCACTTCTGCTGTATTTTCCGCCTCTAAGAACCTGCTCCAAGCAGCCTCTGCCGCCTCTTCCATGCGTACAGCAACTTGTTCTGTTAACCGTATCTTCAATTTAAGATCTTCCTCATTTTGTTTTAGTCCAGTCAATTTCTTCTCAAGTCCCAACTCTCTTGCAAGAGATTTTTCCAGCATTCTTAAAACACGCCTTTGTTCCATTGTCTGCATTTGCGGCTTGAACTCTGTGCTTTCTAAATGAAATTCTTCGTTGAGACCCTCGACCAAGTCATATTTCCCTGTCAACAAACACATGTTAGCGTAAAATGATAAACACGGCATACTTTGGGTATGTGTTTAGTAATAAACACTGGAGAGAACTCTATATTAAACAAATTTTTGAATATTTTTCTTCGTTAAGACAGTTAAGTACCACAAAATCCTCCCTATCAAACATGCCATTACAATAAAAGAAAAAGTAGATTGGTTTACGAGTGTGACAATAAGTTATATCTTACATTCATTTTGTTTAGAAGAAAATGAGCTCATCTGCAACTTGGCTAATTGGATCTTTATCTCCTGGACTTGCTCTTGTGACTGTTTTAGTAATTCTTCAGAATCACGCAGTTTACTTTCAAGCCCAGTGAGCAATTCTGTCGGTTGTCCACAAGAAGATATCTCATTAAGGGCATTGACAATAGTATCTTGAAGATCACCCATTAGATTGTCTAATTCTCTCACCTCGGAACATAAAAAAGCGCACAACAGATCAAACATTAAAGCCTTTTCAATCAATTCTGCAGATATGTTATCATCCTCAACAGGTATTGATCCAATATCATTTTCCCAGAGTAAAATGCGCGACAAAAGATCCTCCATATTTGTCAACTTTTCAGAAAAGAGGGCTAAGGTCATATCCACTTCATATGAAACTTTCAAGGCATTTTGTACCCTTTCCATGTCTTTGGTATTGTATGAGAGACCTTCATGCATAAACTTTTGCATGTCGGGGATGGCAATATCAGAAGTAACAGCAGCCGTATCATTCATCTTATTGCTGTAGTGTTCTGATTGGAAGACTGCAAATAGAGAGAAAAAAATAAATTGTAATACAGTCTATTCAATTAGAACATGAAGAAACATAATCAAGAAGGTGCGTATGCGTCTATTCAGTACATTATATACTAGAAAATTTGGCCTTTTCCTATCATAAATTGACGACTAGAGAAGTAGATGACATTATCAATGTAATGACTCGTTCAAAACAGTATTATGGCATTTGCAGAATCAGGTACTTACCCTTATTTGACTTCCAATGCTTTCAGAAATTGGAAATTTATCTTAGAAAGAAAGTTAAACAGAAGGAAGGATACAATAATAAGTCTTATTTCTAACAAGTTTATGGTCAACTACATGAATCCCTACTTTTGTAATTAACATAGGCCATAGTTTTTGTTTACATCTCACTTTACCAACCTATTACATTGACATGAAAACAATGCAGTTTGTCCTCTCTGGCATGTGTAGAATGAGGTGCTGCCTCTAGAAACAATAAAGGTACAGCATATCCAGTAAGTGACCCTTGAAATCCGATAGTCTTGATAATCCCCATATGATTATTTGAATCTTTAAAGTACCCATAATTGAGCACGAGTCTCGAAATATTTCAGATGTTTCAAATAATCCTGCTTCCTGAATCATTATAAACTGAAGTCTATCTTTTCTTTCTACCAATATAACCATACAAGAATCCGTTAAGCAATGCCTAACAGTTTCATACATGTTCTATAGTTAAACAGGCGAGTCCACAAACAATTCAAATTCACTCCTTTCTGAACCAATGAAAACTGATCAACTAAACTTCCAGCTTCAATCCGTAAAACCTTAAAATGATGATTAAGTATTAGAAGCAATTACAAACCTTTAAATGATGATCAAGTGCTAGAAGCAATTACATATTCTAGATAAAAATATTCAAGAATGGCTCCCAAACCTTTCATTTGTTTCACAATCAGAAAATAAATCCCAGGAGGCACTCCTGTATCATATGCAAGTAATATCATTTATGTAGGGACACTATAGATCTGCAAGAAATCAGCTTTAAATATATCTGAGAATCTTAATTTGTTGACATGCTATAACATATCACCTCTCTGTTTATCACCCTCCAAAGGGAGAACTCATCCCATGCGACCTAATATCCAATTATAAATAAAGTTGATACTACATCACTACTTACACGAGTAAGCTCTTCAAAAATATTACAGGGAGGAGGGAACTCTTCAATAATATAACATTAAAGTTATACTGAATATCATAATGACTTTGCAGACATATTTGAATGCAGGAAATGAAGTTGTAATTCACGGAAAAATGAAACAAAGCCAAAAATTGAGCATGAAACCTATTTCAACTTATCATTCTCTCCACTCAAGAGCATGATATAAACTCATTCAAGTATGATATAAGTATCACAAATGATTACTAGAGACACACAATGATATCGAAGTATGCTCTCTCGGAAACCAAAAATGCTTAGCTAAATATCAAATCAATCCTACCTCTGAAAGAAAGAAGATAATAGGCCTACCAAATTACATTTCAAATAAAAAAAATCCTCAAAACATAACACGAAATTTACCAAATGCCAATATTTTGTTTCAACTTCTGCAGTAGTTTTTTTCTAGATATCAATATTTCGATTCTTTCTCACAGATTTCAGCCAATGAGTAAATCTTGTTTATGAATACAAAATAGTGAAATTTACCTAATAAACAAGAAGGAAACACAAACCATACAAGTACTTGAAACTGAAATTTATTTTCAGTATAAGCTTCATTCTTCACAGACTTGATTATCAATTATGAATTTTCAAGTTCAACATAAAAACCAAAATTAAGCAGTTCCTAAGCAATCTCAATCAAAGTCAAAAGCTAAAATTAATCCAGAATACAACAAAAAGAGTTAGTAGAAAATAATATTTCTTCATTTTTCAACATAATCTCTGATTTCAAGAACATGCCTTCAGAATATACTCTGTGGGTCTTCTTGAATTCTCAACATAGTGATAACCGAGGACAAGGAATGAGTCTGATAAAATAACTGAACGTGTAGGAGGATTTTGAAAAGTTTAATGACACCATTGAGAAAAAATTAAAATACTGTGACTCAATTGAGTTTTCACTAAAAGTTCTGTGACTGCTGACAAAATAGACCCAATAAGTAATGGGTTAAAGCCATTCAATTTTAGAGCATGTTGGGGAGTGATTTTGAGAATTGATTTTTTGACCATTCGGAAAAAAGTGGGGTTCATTCGTGAGAGAAGAAGTCAAATATGACAGTTGAAATAGTGAAATAACTGTCAAAAATCATTTTTTGGGAGAAAAAATCGCTCCAAATAGGCCCTTAAGTCGTCATGATCATCTAATTTGATTTTGTTTGACCATTTCACCCAACTTTATATTTAATGTCACTATGATTATTCATTTTTATTTTATTTCATTATAACCACTCAACTTTATATTTAATGTCGTCGTATCCAATTTCATGAAATATTTTACTATGGCAATTTAAGTTCTTTTTACCATTTTTACTTATTTTAAAAGGGGTAAAATAATAACTTTGCAATACATATATATAATAAATTTTAAAAAATATAAAAATAAAAACTTATTTTAAATGAAATAAAAAAAAGACTTATTATAGAAAATAGAGGTCAGATAAATGCTAAAATGTGCCGTGCGTACAAAATAGGACCAAACGGTCAACTTTACGGAAGTAGGTGGAAGGGGTCCAACTGGACAAATACTTGAGTTGGGACCCATAAAGGAGAATAAGCCATTCTTATTGTGCCACGTAATAAGTAAAACAGATGGAATTCAGAATATTTTTTTGAAGAATAGAGCTCAGCCGATTATTGAGGCCAAACAAACATAATGACAAGTGAGTACAGAAAAAGCGTCAGTGGGGACGCACAAAGCTCCTCTGCTACACACTTAGATCTCAGTTATTTTAGTCCGTTTGGTTCTGATTTTTCACTCTCAAAAAATTAATTTTTTGATCGTTTCTTTCCTAAATCAGTCGTCATTTTTTACTTCTTCACTCATAGATGGAACTCACTTTTCTTTTTAACTATCAAAAATGTGATTTTTAAAATCACTATCGAACATGCCTCAGTTTTTGCGATGTTAATTGCAAATAATAATATTTTAAAGAGAATGAGGATTTCCTCTCGAATGGTGAAATAATGATTGAGATGGCAGACCTTAATTATGACATCACTTTTCTCCTACTTTACACCTCATAACTCATCAAGATAAATATGTTTTCTCCTCTTCTTAACCCGAAATGAACGGTTGGAAAGCAGGAAAAGTTAAGCACCAACTGACCTTCCTCGTGGGCCTACAACGGGGAAGCAAAAAGTGATGAGCTTATTTATAAAAATTGTTTCAATATGAGATAATTAATTTTAAAAAATAGATTCAGTTGATAGGGAATGCTAAAGACTAAATTAATATAAAGTTCGTTATTTCATAAAATTTATTTTTTCTCAAAATCATTTTTAACAACACATTTTATAGGATTTGCAATCAATAGATTATCCTATTATCTCTAATACTTATTACTAAGCTTCAACGGGTATATTTAAAATTAATTTATAAAGAGGAACAATAATGTGAATAGTAGTGAATTCCACGAAATGTGTAAGTAAATGGTAATTATGAATGTTTGACTGAATTTATAAATCGTTTATCAATTTGTTTCTCAATCGAAGGCAAAGGGGCTTATTGTATTAATCCATTATAGTGAAAATGGAGAGCGGGTGGTGATGTAATACTCCGAATTTTGTGCTCATTTAATTTTTAGAATAGCAATTTAACTTTTCAAAATTTAGTATGGCAAAAAATTATTTATGGTTGCCAAATTTTGCATTGGTTGATTTATTAAAAGTTTTTCCAAATAATTTGTTAATTAGGGGTTCGGGATAAATGTCCATTTTACACATAATTACTAAAATTAAACATTGTTTCTCCACTTGGCCGAGAATTTGATGAAACATATATGCATGAGGTGTTTTAATTTAACCATGAGGTGGCTAACTAATGTATGAGATGTTTTGGATTTAAGAAAAAGAAACAATGCAGCCCACACGTGTTGAATTTCTTGAAGTGTCACCCATAATTAATCATTTTTCTCACCTATAAATAGAAATGTTCCTGTCCTTTATTTCCTTGGCATGAAAAACAGTTTATCACTTGTTTAAAAAAGGCAGAAAACGTGAGGGAAGAAGAGGACCAGCTTAGCATTTCTCAATTCATTTTTCAACCAAGATTTCTTCAAATTTTATTGTAAGATATTTTCTATGCTTAAGTGGTAGGATTTCATGGTAAAATTTATGCTTAAGTTATGCATGAAAATCATAATATAAAAGACGTGGACAAGTCCACAAAGTTAGATATCTATTTATGCCTTAGGACAAGTCCGAAGGACACCGGCAAGCCGAAATTGTGCAAGTATGTGTTTGAATGCTTTCTTTTGTGTAGTATTAACATATTAAATCCAAGCATGGTATCTTACTGAGTATTCTTTATACTCATAGTATTTCATATTAAATTTTCAGATTCATAATTGTGGAGTTGGTGGAAGTCAGTCGGCAAAATCGATGATGGATCAAGGACAGAATTATTTTACATTGAAGTTTCTGTTTTGTATGTTTTGTTTGACTGCTTTCCATATGTTTTGCTTTTGTTATTATATAAAAACATGCATAAGACATGATGTAAAATGGTACTGGAAGTAAATTATGTAATTATATTTATCATGTTATGTTAAGAGACTTTTTTTTTTTTGTTTTTACTTTCCCTTGCAAGTGATAAAAAGGCAGAAACGGGACAGTTTTTTTTGTTAACTTCAACACGTTATTTCTGACTCCATAAACGTCCATTTGAGACTCTGAAAATATTGCTGCGTTCCTCATTGAGTTGTCTTAATATGGGCACAAGAATCACTCAATTTGGATATCTGTAGCCTGAGATATGAATTTTTAAATGTTGAAGGGTCAAATCTGAAATGTCTGTGCAATACCTCACTGTTTTCAGTAAAATGTCCATATTATATGATCTTGGAATTTTATTTTATATTTTAACCTAGAAAACTATTTGAAAATATCTTTCTAATGTCATAAATTTCATAGAAAACGGAGTTGGGATGAATTTTATAAAAATAATTGAAGTTGCTGCCCCAACTAACCGTGGCAGTGCAGAGTCCGTAAATGTAAAGTATAATTTTGTCGACATGCGCTTCTGCTGGCCATTAAAATTTTATGAGAGATATTTTACCAAGTTGAAAATAAGTTTCTAACATGTAATACTTTCTTTTAAAAGTATTTACATGTAACGAAAGCTGCAGTTTTATGTTTAGTACGTGATACTCGAAACTTAAGTTCGGGGCGTCACAGGTGATCACTTTGTTCTTTTTGTCATTGTCTTCTATTTATTATTGCTCTTAAAAATAGGGATTAAATCTTAATTCAAAAGTATATATGTGAGAGCATAGTGCATCAGCATAATCAGACAATTGACTGCACGAGAGAAAAAAGAGACAGTTTGCAAAAGAGTTACATAAGATACATTTGTACTTAATAATAGCAAAGTTTTTGCCCTTAGAATCAGAGAATTACATGGTAAATGTATTGTATAAAGTTGGCATTTTGTTTAAACTCCTTAAGATATTTTCTGCCATTTGCCTGGTGCATTCATCCCCATGGTGAAATGCACTGACTAATGTTGAAGGAAGCAATCTGTCCTGTGATATATCTGAAGCAGATTTATCCCCGCCTTTCAACAAGAATCTCTCTATAACCCAGAATGATTTCTGCCTAAGGGCTTCCTCTCTATGCTCCTTCACTACATTCAGTACCTGCTGGATAGCGCGTTTTTCACACAACAAGCTCACACTCTTTTCAACATCAACATTGTCATCCAACAATGTGCATAGAGCTGATAATGCGGCCCCGACCACCTCCACGTTCTCATAGTCGAGGAACGCCAGCAGCTGTTCATCAGCCTTGGCATCGAGTAAGCAGAATGTTTCTTGAGATGAACAAACACCTCTGTGAATAGGACACAACGAGAATTCTTCACCTTTGGATGATTTTGGTAATGAGCATTGTCGGAAAATGAAGAATTTAAGGATCTTTTTTTTCTTCATTTGTGGAGGCATTGATAGATTTATAGATTGTTTGGACAGATTCTCCAGCCCTATTGCCGATAACTTGTAAACTTCGTCGGTATATGATTTTGTCAGTAACTCTGTCAAAACTGAGGTGAAGTTGTAAGTCCTTGCTTGAAGAAGTATTTGATGATCATACAATGTTGTTGTTAATCTGACAAGAATTCCCACCAGGCCTTCAAAATAAGCGTTTGCATACCTGCTCGATCTCGTGCCAGTAATTTGTACCTGACTGATACTTTTTATGATTGTTGGAACAATGTTACCATTGACCAAAGCTAGGTTGAGTGTGAGGTTTTGGTGTGGAAGTTTTGCCAAGAAATTGACTGAAACAGCATCCTTCTCTGTGATTCTTGTAATTTCAGTTGGATTCTGAATTAGACTCTCGGGTTGGCCTCGGGTTTTGCATAATATGGTTGATAGTGTGTGTCCCATGAAGGCTGATAATGTGATGAGTAGCTTTATAGATACAACCCCGAGATCGTCATTCGAGAAATTTATCAATTCAATCAAATTGAAACTAGCTTCTGTCTCCTTGATCACAGAAACAATGGTAGCTGATGCTTTAGGGAACTTCATCAAGCATAATAGGATTCTGATAAGGTTGATGTTCAGCTCGTCCGGTGTTGAGTTCTTAATTTGGTGAACGATGTTGTATATAATGTAATCCGAAGCCATTGTTTGTCCATGTATACTGACTTGGAAATCCTCCAGCTCTTTCCCCGACTCGAGTATATTTGCAAGTATTGCAGCAGCCTCAGTTTTTGAATTCATTGGTTCAT